GTGCCAAAGTTTATCAAAATTTGCTTTGCTTCTCACCAGTGACCGACACGATATCATAACATGTTAATGATTTCGTTAAAAAAAGAAAAAAAAATAAAAAAAAAGAAGAAATTCTCAGCTTTGATTACGGCTTCGCCGAAAAATTCGCCGAAAATATCGGGGGAAAGTCACGACGTTTAACTCTCCCCGCGAACAAAACATGCCGCCGTACCCTAATATCGATAACTATCCAATTGTGCAGCCTCCGGAGATTCGTTTCTGATGTAATCAAGGAATACGCAAGGGGGCTGCTGCTAATTGTAATCGTGTAACACTGGCTCGGCCGAGGGGTGACGAGCATCGCAAAGAATTGATTCTGGTTACGTTAATATAATCAGAAATTCAGGACTGGCTCGTCCTCACTGCCCTTATGAAATATGTATCACGCGCTTGCCGAAAAGCTTACGAAAATTGTCAAAAAGAAACCCGCAGCCTACAATTGTAACTGTCAAGGAAAAAATTACAATAGTCCCCAGTTCGGGACCGAAAAGAGAGGGAGAAAGACACTAATATCGGTATCATATTCAATATCGCTTGTTTTGTGTGTGCAAGTATCATGTTAAAATAGCGTAGAGTGGAGATAATCCAACTCTTTGGGGTTTAAAATTGTCTGGGGTGGGTTTAAAACTGTCCCATATTTTTTTTAACAATTAATGCATGATGGGATATTTTTTAACCTTTTTTTTTTTTTGGAAAAAGATGTGTTTCGACGAATTTCATTTAATCATGGTGGAATTATTTATGCCCCACTCTGTAATAAAGAATTCATTTTATTTTAAGAAATATTTTATGTTTAATAATTGAAATAAACGTTTTCTTCCTTTTTTTTTTTGTATTAAAAAAAATTCCGCGCAGGTAGAGTTCTTTTTTTTTCCACAAAATTACGTTAACTGGGACTGCTATATCGCGTAACTTTCCAAACATCATATAGTCCTTCCAACGAAACGAAACAAGAAAGCACGATGACAGGTCGGTTTGCATGATTTCGCACAAATTAATTCTCCCGACGCGGGGACATCCAAACCGACGAACGGTCCCAAACATCGACCTGGCAACATTCCAGACTAACAAATAACGCGAGATGAGCGACGTTACGCGACGAGATCGTAACAAAGTTGCAAGTAGGTGCGTGATGTAGAAAGAGGGCAACTTGACGGCCGCGCGGCGGTGCATTGAACATCAAAGACAAGAGTGGAAAAGAGAAAGGGAATCGCGCGAGCATCGCCCGAGCGAGGAGTTGGTTGGTAAAAGTAGGCAAAAGATCGGTCGCTCGCTCGCGAAGGCATCCCATCGGCTTCCCTTTCAGCGGCGCGCACAAAACGAACGCCGCGCGGCGATGGAGCGGAGAGCGCGCGTAATCAATCAGTTTCATGGGAGCATGGAGGGCCGACGTGTTAATGCCTCGTAGGAAACTATGAATACATGCACGCCGAACGGGAGGAATTCGGTCGAGAGCAAGATGACTATAAAGATCGGCTGCGCGTGTGCTTGCACCAGCTACCGTTCCTTCCATGATTATTTCGATACTTTCGCGTGATACTCTCTACGTGTTTCCATCTGTTTCGGGCCAATTTCTACGATTCTAGTCAGAATTATTTTGCACGGAAGACATAAGAGGCTTCTTGTCCGTACAATGTCCATCTAAATTTATTACTTTATTTAGATATGTTTGATGAATGGTTGAATAAGGCGTGCCTGTTTTTTTTCATGCTGTTGACTATTTATCATTTTCATTCCTAGCCGCTGATCCGCGTGTCTGTTATGTTATTCAGCGTTTTTTAACCACGTTGCGCTGGACAACCGATTGCAGACCGTAACGAGTGACCAAACCGCATACAATAATTCGTCGCTTCCTTTTTGAACTCGTCGGTGTGACATCACTGGATAGAAATTATTGAGGAGTAATTTTTTATTCGTTTTGCCTATTTTGTTTTACTTGAATATAGTTAAAACTGAGGGAATATTGCAATTTTGGGACGAAAAAATTCTAGACGTGCGTGGCACGTTATTATTCCAGCACAAGAAAAACGATTGGCATCATCCTCTATCGATGTTTAATTTCACCGTTTCTGGAAGAATCACGTTAAGGCAATCAAAGTGATTGACTAACACTCACCATCACATTTCGTACAAAGCAGGCCCGCTGTCAGCGTCCAATTCGATGCGTTATATTATATGCAAGGCATTGCAATAAAATTCAGGGCGACGTAAAAATCCGTGTGATAATCAGTCAGTTACAATATAGTGCAATAGTCGATATAATGTAGCGTGATGCTAATTATAATCCAAGTGCGACGTACGACAATCCATTACAAATCAATAAGTGCGATAAATTCAGGATCTACCGATCCGTGTGATAATCAATTAGAAAAGTATTATAATCCACTCATCACGATCTCCGATCTTCTATCAGAATTGTACCATTTGGTATCGTTTACAGTCGTTATCCGCCTCAAACTTGAATCGGATCTTGTATATTGCTTGGCCCATCAAGCCACAACACACCACGTATACGAGATGTTTCAGAATCATAAGTCAATTACATTCAGGAGATAGTAAGAATTTCGATGTAATATTACATTGTATTGGACACATCAGGAACACGAGTGTAAAAACATTGATACGTTTGATAACAAGCTGTGCAAACGAGCGATTTGTGATTGTTAAATTTCTGAATGCACGAGATTTCGCAATCTTGTAATGAAAGAATAAATAGATACCTACACATTGTGTAAAACTTCAAACTACAATGAAATGTTAAGAAAATGGTCGACGAACTTACAGAGTGGATTGCTCATTGGCAAGTGCCCAAATCTGTACTCTCAAAACCTAGAACTACATTCGGCACGCGTGTTTTTATCAGATAAAAAGTCATCTTTCGACATAACTTCCTCTATCGTCCCTTACCTAATGGACGTGTAATTCTGAAACTCTGTATATATGTATATATGTACGTGCATACACGGTATGTTACGCCACTGACGAACGCATTGTGCCAGCGTAGCGAGTAAACGAGTCACGCTGCGTCACGTTCTGGCCCACCACCGCAGCAGCAACAGCAACAGCAGCAGCAGCCCTTCTCCTTTTGTACGAACACCCCGCCGCTTTTCAGTCCGGCCTGAATTACGTTACGCCGCTTTACTATCGGCCAGTTTATATTCGAGGTTTATGCGGACCTCGGCTAGATACACGTGAATAGCGTTTTAATCGAATCGTGCCGCAGCCACGTAATGATATTTACTCCCTTCCTTTACCGTGCACCGTGCACCGTGCACTCCGTGCCATCGAATGGGGGAAGCTTCCCACCCTCTCTTTCTCTCTCCCTCTTTTTTCCGATGTATCTTTGTTTTTTTTTTTTTATCTTTCCTTCTTTGTTCTCTGTTCCAATCGTTTATTTGCAGATTGATATCCTTTTGGCAAGTTCTTTTTGCCGCTGAATTTCGAGTCGCTGGAGCTTTGATGAAAACAGGAACTGAATGATCTCTCTTTCGTCACAAATACTTTCTACTTTTTTAAGTCACGTCAAACAGTCTTGTTATTCACGTGTCTGGTTTTATTTCTCACAAAAATTAGAAATTTCTGTTCAATCCAAGCATTACAGTTTAGATGAAATATACCTCGATAACTTTGTAACACAAATGTATCGAGTCATGCGTACGATCAAGATCTCAAAAATAGAAAGACTTTTTTAACCTTGTATCAGGCAGTGGAGGCGTCGATACGCTGGCGCGCGAAAAGCGAATCGAATTCTGCGCCCCCGTGGGCCGAGGAGACGAAAACTCTCGAAATATTCGCACATGCCTGCTCATAACTTAATGGAGTTGACAAGTCGTCGACGAGGATGATGGACTGCGTTTGATCGAGGAGGGTTCTAGCAACCCTAACGCGAGGCTAAAAACGGATTCGCCACGGGCAGCTGTGACGACGCGACCTTCCTCTCGCCTTCTATCTCATTTTCCTCCTCCTTATTTTTCGGGGGAAATCAACTCTCTCTTCCTCTCTCGCCCGGGTAATCGGTTTTTCTGTTGTGTCACTTGAACACGACAGCCTTTGTGCACACGCGTGTTTTATACCGAGATCCGTGTCCGAAATTATGCACGGGACGACCCCTCGTCGGAGGTTCGAGAAGCGAAAACCACTTTATTATACGGCCGTCGAAAATTTTCATTCATATTCGTTTCGGTTCGTCACGGTTCCTTAATGCCGGTTCGATGTTGTAATATAAACGCAGACGCGCGGAATTTGTGCGTAAGGGATTCATTATTTAATCTACGGACTCTTCCCCGCTTGAAAAGTTATATGGCGAGGCGTTCAATATCATGAAGACAGATTTATATACTTGCTGAAAATTATATATATGTCTTATTTAAGCTACTCAAATATAAGTACTGACAGAGATAGGAATGAAGTATAATAAAGTTTGCAAATATAGTAAATTAATATAGTAAATTAATTGATTATGAAAAAAGATGGTTCTTACATGTTAAGTTACTACAGAATTCGATAATTAATGTTACAATGTATAATAATGATATAAATAAAGATAACTTTCTCAGGTGTAAAAAAAAAAATGAAATATTTGTAATGTTGGCTAGAAGAAATTGAATGTACCGATACGCAAATGAGGTTACATCTGATGGTAATGTATCAAAAAAGCTGTAATTTTAGTTACAGTTGATAATGTAGAAAATACAAGAGAAGTACGCTCACTTGATACTAAATTCGCAGAGGGCGTGAGAAACCCTGTTTTTTTGACGTCGGTATTGCAGAACACAAGATCTATATTTTATAATTTTAAATTTGATATAATTTTAAAAAAAGCCGAGAAATATTAGTGAAATATCTACATTTTATCTACGACAAAATTTCTTATCTCTGAAAAATTAATAAATATATAACAAATATATTAATAGAGAATCAATTTAATAAAAAATCTAAATAGAGTAAGGTATCTTCTTAAACATACAAAAATAGAAAGGAATGGGACATTATGTTAGACATAATGTAGAATATGAATCGTCTTCTGGTGATGCCACAATGTAAATTAAAGAACACTTCCTGAAACAAAAAATATAAAAATTTAATAAAATTCTACAAGATAAAAATAGTTAGCAACAGAGGAGATTTAAATTTCCTCAGATTTATTTCTTCTTTTTTAATAATTTTCTTTGGTCCATATTGTTCCATTATTACTCATATGTATTTCATTAATTTTATTTTATTTTATTTTTTTTTTATTGAAGTTGTACCAAAATCTTGAACCGAAAAAACATAGAAAAAAAATTAATTGAATCTTAGCAAAAAATGAGTTCAAATTTAGATTTAGACATTTGAATTTAAATATTTGAATTTGAGTGTAAATGAATAAATAAGAAATTGAAGGCTGTCGATAACCACACTTCTATACAGCTTTCTTAGCTGCATCAGGTGATTCAGGAACATGATTCCATGGTTCTAGACGTTTGGGCATTTTATAAACGCAACACTATTTTAAAAAAACGCAATTATTAACTATCTGTTAACGCAACACTAACTGGAAAAGTGACTGAAACAATCGTGATGGAAAAATGGACTAATGTGCAATAGAAAATAAATTCAATAACTGGCTGTATCTATTTAAAAGAAAAACTATTAATTATTCGCGAATAGAAACACTATAATGTTAGTCAAAAGTTAACATCTTTCCAATTCAGTATTCAATAAAATAAAAGAAAGTTCAATTATTACTCTTTAAGAATTCTAATGTAAACCGAAATAAATATTCTTTCGTAACTTTAACTCACAACGCGAAATCTTTATTACTTCGCAACTCTAACACAATCCGTGATTAATTTTTCGAAATGCTAATAAAAAAATAAAAGACGATTTGCCCAATATAATGGTGAGCCGGTATTGGATCAAAAAAAAAAAAAAAAAATCTATTACTACAGATATTAAAAATGAGCATAATGACAAAGTAGTAACAAGAATGACTTCCCATGCTATAGATGGATTTTCCCATCCAGAGGATGATAAGCCATTTGTTGCAGCCCTCTTCAAAGGCAGTTTGCCGGGCTTCTTCTTTTCTTCGGGCGCAATGCCCGCTGAAACTTACATCTAGGCTCGAGTCTTTCTAATCGCAAAACAAAAAATAACTTATAAAGATAAAATGAAAAGATAAGCCGCGAAAGCTGACCTCAATACACATGGACGACCATCGATCATAGAGATCGTTGTCCGTTCGCATGTGCGTGCTCGAGCAATACCTATATAAACGTTCGTTTCGGGACCTACTCGCGACCTATCCGCGACCGCGACCGCGATACTAAATTCGAAAAATCGAAGAGTAAAACGAGAGACAAGTGGCATGCTCCATTTGTACCAATTTCACTGTCGATTTTTCAAATTAGATTTCCTGAAACAGGTTGGACACGCGAAA